TCAATGGCAAAGGGCTTTTTCTTAGTAGCCAAGTTCATGCCCACCTCCTTCGTGGTTTCCAACCCACTCCTGGTCCTGACTGTTTTGGCGCTTGTCAGGATGCAGCCCACGGATCACCATCAGTGTCAGGACCCCTGTGGGAGGGGTGGTGAATGTACACATCCTCGGCTCTGCCCAGACCCACTGGACCAAGAGTTCTAGAGATGAGCCCAGGAATCTATTTTAACAAGCTCTCAGGTGATTCCTGTATGAACTAAAGGTGGGAACTGCGAGTTTGTGTGGGCAGAGGAAGGAGAAGGGCTGGACGATCCTAGCGAGGGAGGTGACTTTCCTTCTGCTTCCCACGGGATCAGATCAGCTCCTCAGCCTCTCTCCATTGCCTTTGATGAAAAGTCAGAGCCACAGTCTGGGCTGCGCATACAGTGGGGGTGGGGACAAAGGTGCAGAAAGGAGACGAAGGGAACCTGAATGTATCAAGCACCTGCTAGGCGCCTGGCGTTCATTGTATGCGTATTTCATTCATTTCTCACCACAGCATTATCCTTATCCTCATTTTGCAGGTAAAGAAATTAAGGCTCAAATAAGCAACTTTACTCAGGTCACACAGCTGGTCCTTAATCCAAACTCAGGTCTAGGGAATGCCGGCGTTCGTAAGCTTTTCCCTCTGCATCACCCTGCTTGTCCCTGAGGCTAAACATTGCGGCTCCCAGGAATGTTCCTGGAGTTCTCTCTGATGCTACTTTACCATAACAGTTGTCTGACACTCCAGAGATAAGAGATGAAAGGTGACATAAAGGAGCTCCCATGAAGCATTTGTGGAAATGATACTGGAAGTTTGCTCTTCAGTAGGTTCTTGGTCTCGGTGATTTGAAGAAGGAATCCGCGGCCCACAGATCAGTGGTACGACAGGATTTATTTACAGAAGTGCCACAGCTCCTGGCAGAGAGAAAACCGGAGTCAAGAGAAAAAAGTCCTCTCTCTCCCTCTCTGTCTGTCTGTAGGCTCTTTGTCTAGGGATATATATATATATATATATAGTCCCATGGGCCCCTCAATAGTTACATTTAGCAGGGATAGGTAGTTACATTTGGCATGTCTGTGACATCTGTGATGTCTGTCTGGAACAACATGTTACATTTAGTGTGTCTTGGACATCTGTCTGAGTTGCAAATTAATGGCTACAATCCCTTTTAGTCCCAGGCCTAGGAAATGGGGATCCCCCTGCCCACCCTCTAGCCTGCTGGGTTTTCTGCTTGCTGCCACCGCACCAACATTGCCAAGGTGGAGGCAGCCGGCCTGTGACCCGCAACTCCACAAGTTGGCTGGGATGCCACTTGTCCTATATCAGAAACATCTCTCCATAGCCTCTGCTCCTCAGAAATCTTGGACAGATCTTGTTATAGGTCAGTTAATACAGGCCTGGTATGGGAACCCAGGATTAAAACTGAGCTCTGGGGAGAGGGTGTTTGTTGGGATGGCCTGGACAGAGACGGTGGATTGGTCAGCTCTGTCTCTGGCCTCTTTCTGAACTGACAGTGCCCAAGGAGAACGGCCTAAGGAAGCCTGTTCCAAGTCCTTTGTGATGCAGGCTGCCGCCCTGGATGTGCTGAGCTGGAGAGAGAGGTTTCCGATGGTTAACTGTTTTCATTTGACATATAGGAAGACCACTACTTCTCCCATCTTATTTTATTTGGATTTATTTATTTATTTATTTATTTGGCCAGGGCTGGGTTTGAACCTGCCACCTCTGGCGTATGGGGCTGGCGCCCTACTCCTTTCAGCAACAGGTGCCGCCCTTTATTTGGATTTTTTAAAAACAAAATTTTTAAAAAGCTTGACTGGATAGAAGATATTTTGCCATTAGAATACATATTTACTCTCAAGACCAAAAAAAAAAGCTTTTAAAATTTCTTTTTTCTTCTTTTCTGTGGAGTGCTCACAGCCACCAGCCACCCAGTGCCCCCTCTCTGCAGCCACAAGAGGGTGTCTAAACCACTGTGCTGGGGTACACTAGGTATCTGCATGGTGGGGGTGAACAAGGCCCTGGGACATAAGTCGTTCAAGTGACTGGGCTAGCCAGGCAATACCAACAACCTCCAAACACTCCCACCCCCAACACCTGATGAGCGGGCCATGTGTCCGCTTTCCCTCTGCGCTCCTCCTCACAGAGCGTGGGGCTCATGACTCTCCAGGCAGATAGGGAAACCGGACAAGGCTCCAGGAGTACAGGGCCGGGATGTCTACAAATGACCTGGAACGGTAGAGGGCAGAGGTGGTGGGAGGCAGGAACCCTGCGTGAGTCGAGGCCCCCGGGAGGCCCTCCCAGGGCACCGGCTGATTTTCTCTGATGAAAGTAATTGTTTGTTTTGTGATGTTTCAAAGGAGAAGGTGCCCTGGAAGGAGCTCTGAATCACTCCATGGCCCACTTTATTGTCAGGGCCGCTTGCCCTTCTGGCTTTTCTTTGATCTCTCAGTTTTAGGTCACATGACTTCTTTCAAATTTTTTTCTTTCTAATAAAACTTCAACCCTTTGTTACCCTTGTATTTTGCCTGCTGTGAGGAATAGATCCTTTGAACCTGGAGAGCTGCTCTGGACTTGCTTTGCTGGTTGCAAGGTGGGTGAGGGGAAGAGGTTTGCGTCCCCCTAAGCCAGATGGTTGACTGGTCTTTGCACACAAAGCATGGAAATGTATTAAAAGCTTATTAACATCTCCAGATTCTGGCTGTTTGACTTTTGAGTGCCTGATGTCATTATTTTTGGGTATCATATTTGGTATTTTAGTTTATCTCAGCCCCGAGACCCTTGGTGACATCACATTTTCTTCCCCAACATAGATTCACTTCAGCATCTTAGGACTACAGGAGGTGACAAGCCTGGGAAGGGGTCAGCCTCCCCATATCACAGACCCCAGACGGATGCCCAAAGCATGGAAGCCACTTATTGCCAAGGGTCTCACAGAGACCTGGAGGTCTTGGTAGAATTGGGGCTCAGATTTTGATCTCTTGACTTTTCAGTCCCTGAGATTTAACTTTTCCTGTACATGAATAGTGTCCCCTAAACTGAACACTGACCTATTTAGATTATGACTATGTCCTCAAGGCCCAGATTGCTGGGAGGACAGAGGGGTACAAGCAGGAATCTTGGAGATTCAGTGGGGCCGCAAGGCTAGGGGCATGAACTGGGAATTTATCAGCATGCACAGGGCCTTAACTTCTCTCAGGGAAAGAGTTTGGGGATGGGATAGGAGGGGTGCTGACAGGCAGACATCTGCCTGAAGACAATTTGTGTTCCTAATGGAGAGGTGGCCCTGAGTCCAAGGGGGCTGAATGTCTGTCCCTCTTGCTATACCAGCTGCCTGACTGAGTTCATCCAGCATATCCCAGGCCTGGCATATCCTGGAGCCCTATCCTGGGACTTACTAAAGGGTCAGAGCCAGGAGGAGACACTTTCCACCTTCCCGGAACTTCCAGCCTATTCTAGGCTCCAGACATACCCATCCACATCGCTGGCAGAGCCAGAGATCCTCAGGGTTCCAGCCAATGTGCTGCAGGGAGGGGTGTTGGAGGAGGTGGGATGGTACTGGGGGAGTGCAGAGAGGGCACTGAGCAAAGGCAAAGGGGAGGAGGGGTGTGGGATGGCTAGTGTGTCCACAAAGGCTGAGAGAGAATGGATCTGGGTGGTCAGAGGGTTGACATGCCTCCTTGCGGAGGGGTCTGTGTTCCTCTGGAGCAGTGGTTCTCAACCTTCCTAATGCCTCAGCCCTTTAATACAGTTCCTGTGGGTCACGACCCCTGGGTTGAGAACTGCTGCTCTGGAGGATCAGCCTTGGGTGGAGGGGCTGGACAAGGCTGAGGAGGAGGGGAGAAGGAGTGCTGGAGGGAGCCTGCGTGTGGCATAAGAAGCACACACATGTGCTGGGGAGTGATTTCAGCCAGGTGGGACGGGGTCTGGGCTGCTGGGAATGCACAGGGCAGGGTCACTAGCAAGAGCTGGGGCTGTGGTCCAGCTGTACAGGGACCAAAGACAAAGTGGAATCAGACTGTGGAAGCGGACGGGAAGAGGTGGTGATACTAGGAGGTGACACTGGGAGGTGACCAGGGAAACAGTGCATGGGGTTTGGGACTAGGATTAAACAGCTGGAGACAGGGCAAGAAGGGAGCAGAGACATTGCAGCTCACAAGATCACATCCCGTTGCTTAGCAGCAGCATTTATTGAAACATAGATTGAGACAACCCAGAAGGCAAGGCACCCACAGTCATAACGAGAGAGGGACCCAGAAGCGGCCTACATTTCTCCATCCACCAGCTCTGCATTGGACAGTCTCCTCCTGCACCCAGCAGGGGGAAGTCTGGAGCAACCTTGGGAGTCTTCTTTGAAATGTATAAAGGTGTCAGATAGCCAGGCCTGCCCAAAGTCCCCTAACCAGAGGGCTGTAGGCAGAAAGCATTCCCTCACAATAAGTGGGCCTCTTGTCTGGGAGGTCACAGGAGGAGTCTGGCTGGAACAGGTTAAGCCAGAAGAAGCAAGTCAGTCAGAGAGACAAGTGAAGCCCGTGCAAGAATAAACAGGCAGGTGCTCGCTGTAGAGACCATCCTTCCCAGCCAGGAGGGAGCCTGTGGGGAGGCTCTGTCTGTCTGACCATCAGGCTTGGGAGGCCTGGCAGCGACCGTTAGGATGGTGCCTTGATCCAGGGGAAGGCCAAACTCCCATGCTGTCCAACATCTCTGGATGACCAGAGCATGGTGAATAATACAAATAATACAAATTGGCCACACGTATTTAGAAGCCAGGCTGGAGTTAAGTGAAAGGCTGGGAATGACTCTAAACTGAAGCCATCATGAGAGCTAGGACACAACTTCCCAAAAGAAGAAGGTGGAGGAGAGCGGCCCGAGGGTCTTTCCCTCTGTAGGAACATCTGGAAGATTCTGGAAGCAAGCACACATTTTCCATTCACACACATTCAGTGGGGCAGGAGCTTGGCAGGAGGCCACGGCTCTACTATGCGAAGCGAACGGATCGGCTGCTGGTGCAGCTGAAGCTGGAGGAGCGGGGCTGGCAGGGTGAGCAGGAGTCAGGGGCCATCACTGTGATGCTGCCCCCTGTGGCCGAGGGGCCGGAGGTGATCTGGCGCCCTGGGGTGGTGCTGTATGCGAGGCCCCCACAGGAGACTCCACCACGGGAGCTGCTGACACCTGTGAAAGAAGTGAGGCAGAGGGGTGAGGGCTCCCCGTGATCTCACCTGCTCCATGACAGGCCCCAGAGGGCAGCAGCATGGCCCCCTCTCCAAGGGGTCTAGTGCTCGACAACGCAGGCCCTGTTCCTCAGTCCCATGTCGGGGACTGGGGCAAGAAGGAAGCTACTACTACTGGACCTGGAGGGGCAGAGCTGCCAGGCCCCGGCATGGCCTGTGGCTCACAGTTGCCACCAGTAAAGGGTGCTCAGCTCTGCTTTCTCTAACTCCCCTTGCCATCCCCAGTGAGGAGTCAGGGGAGGGTGAAAGGACCTCTCTTATTTGGGAGAATATTCGAGGCTCAGTGGCTTCAGTCAAAGGGTTCAGCTTTGCCTATCCACAAAGCCATTTTTCTAGGGGATTCGAGGCAGATACTCACAGACATTCACGGAGCCCACACCTTCACACAGCCTGGGGAAAGAAAACTCCTGTTAGTTGCAGACACTGAGCTAGAATTCCTTGAGACCAGTAGTTGCTTGGGGACAGAGAGGTCATCCTGTGTACAGTCTATCTGCTGGGAGGCAGGAAGGGATCCCCACATCTCTGCTAAATGCTCCCTTCTTTAATGATTCTCTAACCACAGAGACGGCCCTTCTGATTTCCGCAGCACTGGGTGAGATTTGGAACTGCACATGCTGCCCCTAATCTGAGTACCACAGTCTACCATGGATAGTGCCAATCAAGCTCACAGAAACGAGAGGCAAGTCAGCTGCCCCTGCGTGTGAAGGGCTTTGTGGAAGAAGAGAGCTAAATGCACACAGAGTCCGTCCCAGTCACGAGACACGGGGCTGCAGCTTCGGGTAGGAAGCTGTTCGACCAGAGCCCATTTGGAGGCACGTGACTTGGGGGCAGGTCTCAGCCCTTCTGCTCATTAGCCGTGTAGCCCTGAGAAAGGCGCTCTGAGCCTATTCTAAAATGGTACTGACTTCACTGGATTATGAGGATCATAAAATGAGCACTTAGAACAGGTCTAGCATTTAGTAAACATTCAATAAGTTATTATTATTAAAGCTTGATCTGTACTAGCCATGGTCAGAGTCAGAGCTCATACTCAGTTCAAGTTGTCCAGGACCAGGGCCTCCACCCTGGAAACCTCCAAGGTCCTGCTCAGCCCTACCTGTGCTCCTCGCCCTCCAGCAGGCGCCTGTAGGTGGCGATCTCGATGTCCAGGCCCAGCTTGGAGTTCATCACCTCCTGGTACTCCTTGAGCAGGCAGGCCATGTCCTGCTTGGCCTTCTGCAGGGCGCTCTCCAGCTCGGCCAGCTTGCAGCGGGCGTCAGTGAGGGCCGCCTCACCCTGCTGCTCAGTCTCGGCCACGGCTGCCTCTAGCTTTGAACGCTGTGTGAGTGAAGATGTGAGGGCAAGGATGAGCGAGAGGAGGCACAGCTTGGCTCACCCAAAGTGATGGCAGGGAGGGGCCAGTCCCAAAGAGAAGGTTAGGCCGGGGGCAGGTAGTTAACAGGGCTGTGAACACGATGGAGGAGGCAGGGGGCTTTCTCCATCTCTCCTTGATGGTGGGCAAGAGGTGGCCAAGGACAGCGCTAGATCTTCCTTATAGGCTCATCCAGCCTGAGACCCTGCTTTCTGTCTGGGTCCCAGCTCCCTCATGCTGTGAGGCCTGACTGGGGCCTGGCCTGTCTTCCTGGGGGCAAAGGGCTGCTGCTGGAGCCTGCCTATGCTGGGTATTTGAGTCCTTCCTGGACCCTACCTGGCACTTGGCATTCTCGATTTCAGCCGTCAGCCTCTGGATCATGCGGTTCAGCTCGTTGATCTCCTCCTTGGTGCGGCGCAGGGTCTCCCCATGCCTGATCACCGTGGCCTTCATCTCCTCACACTGAGGGAAGCAGAGATGCTCATGAGGCTCAGGATGGGACATGTCAGCCATTCAGGACCCAGGATGATTGTGCAGGTTGTGCAGTGCTCAGCCTGTGCAACCACACATGGCAGCCTTTCTCTTACCATCCTTAGAGATTGGAATCCCCGGACTGAAGAAGCCTTTTGTAAGAGACACCTTGCATCCCTCCCACTGCCATGTGTAGGAGGCAGGTGTCCTGTGCCACTCACCTTGCTGCGGTACCAGGACTCAGCCTCGGCCCGGCTACGGCTGGCGACATCATCATACTGGGCCTTGATCTCAGCGACAACGCAGTCCATGTTTAGATCCCGACTGTTGTCCATTTTGACAATGACTGAGGTGTCTGAGATGTGGGCTTGAAGAACACGGATCTCCTGTGGGGCCAAGAGCCAGTATGTTTGGTTCTGGTGCCTGATCTGGGCTGTGTGCTCCACCCGTCGGGGCAGTATCCCCTCCCTGGAAGGGCACCGGTCATGAATGTTACATGGCTCCAGATCTCAACACTTTTGTTCACACACAGGCTTATTACAAAACAAGAAAGCTGGACAGGGCCCCCAAGGTCATCTGGGAACAGCTTCTGGCTTAACAAATGGGAAAACGGAGGCCCAGAGGGTAAGAAAAGCGTGACTCAAATTTACCTGGCAGGGGAGCTGGGGCTGAATGCCCAGATGAGTGATTAGTCTGCTAATTAAGACCACTCCCCCCCACCTCACATGCACACTTTCAGGCCCATCTTTGGATGGACAGGCAGACAGCACATAAGCAGACACTCTAGCACACAGAGGTCACCGGCACCAAGCAGCCCAATCACACGTCTGTCCATCCACATTCCTCACACGCACAAACGTGAACATGGCCTCTGTACCCTGGGCCCCTCACATATGTGTGCAGGTACTTTTCACACTTCCATCACACGCTGGCAAACAGGTGCACACACGTACCCTTGGCCTGCTGCCCTGGTCCCCACACCCCTCTTCACTTGCCCTGGTTGGCAGGTGCCCCTCACCTCTTCATAGAGGCGCTTCAGGAAGCTGGACTCCTCTACCAGGGCCTCGACATTGGCCTCCAGGTCTGATTTCCGCAGATAGGCGCAGTCCACATCCTGGCAATGGAACCGAGAGGAAGGGGAGTGCATGTGGGAGGGGCCAAATGAAGGCGCCCTGGTCAGCATGGGGACTGTGCCCTGAGTTAGAGTTGGCACAGATGAGTCCCCTCCTCTGCCCCACAACCAGCCTCCTCACCTTCTTTAGAACCACGAACTCATTCTCTGCCGTGGCTCTCAGGGCCACCTCCTCTTCATACCTGGGTGTGAGAGAAAGAAGGGCTGGAGCTGAAGAATGATACCTTGAATACCACGGAGCTCCTGTGCAAGTTCTTCCAGGGGTCCAAAAGGAATTCACTCCTTCTAGACTGTGTCTTGGCCTCTCCTTGATCTACTTTGTGTATAACTCATGGGCTGGCTTTTGTTCCATCACGCTTCTATTCCACCCCAGTCCTTCTGCCTCTGGAGCGAGATTAGACATGCATATTCCAGCCCCCAAGTCTAAAGTCATGTGTGCGTCCCAGGGCCCAGGAGAGTCCATCAACCCTGTCATAAAGGTAAACTGTGAAGGGCAAGAAACACAGAGGGCTGTAGAACTTCAGGGGGTCTCCTGTCCTCTCTCCTGAGAGGCTAGTTCTAGGACTCACAGGGCTGGAGTCTTAGAGGTAGAGCCCAGAATCTGGAGAAACCCAGGCCCCACTGGACACTCCTGCTGGGTCCTAGGAAGCCTGCTGGAGGAATCCGATAGATGCTGCCATGAGAGGCTATGGCAGAGCCTCCAGGGTTCTCTCTGATCCCCCCACCCTCCAACACCACACTCACTTCTTCTTGTAGCCCTCCAGTGCCTCCTGCACGTGGTTGAGCTCCGCTGCCAGCCTCCCACTGTCGGCCTCCACACACTCGGCCTCCCGCCGCAGCGTCTCAATGTAGCCAGCAAACAGCGGCTCCAGGTTGCTCTCACAGCACTGGCGGTTCTGGTAGAACTGCCATTTGGTCTCCAGCAGCTTGTTCTGCTGCTCCAGGAAGCGCACCTGCCATTAAGGTGGAGAGAAGAGACTCAGCGGGGAGGCTGGCTGGGGGGGGCTCACAACCCCTGGTTGCCGGCTGAGAGGGCAGAGCCATGGAGTGGAGCGTCTGGGGCTCAGGGCACCCCATTACCAGGCCCCCAGGGAGACAGTTGTGGGTGTGAAGGAAAGCCATCCTGCTGGAAGCCAAAGGTCTCATTCGAGCCCCAGTTTTGCCACTTTACGTGGGCAATTTGTTTAACCTCTTGGCGCTGTTTTCTCACTTTGAAAATGAAGATAATGGTGCCTACCTTAGACCTGTTATGAAGACTGAACAAGTTAATACACGTAAAGTATATTAGAACCATCCCTGACACAGACTAAGTACTTGGTCAACTTAATTATTATGATAATTATTATAATTACCAGTTGTCCTTCATTTATTCATTTGTGCAATAAACACTTACTGAATATTTGCTGTGCGGTGCCAGGGCCTGTGCTCCGATACACACCTGCACCTATGTCTGTGTCATCGATCTACTCGTTTTATTCAGTTGTCACAGCCCTACGGGGAGGTGATATTACTTCCTCTGTATTACCAGTGGGGAAACTGAGACCCCCACGGTGTAAAATGATCTGCTCATGGTAGGTGATAGATTCAGCACCCCTGAGTTCCCTCCCCACCTTGCCTCTGCCCACACTGTGCAGAGTGGCTGAGCAGCTCATCCACCTGCTCTCAGCTTCAGTTCCTATCCAATAAAATCTACCCGTGGACTCATTTTGAGGATTAATTAAGATCACTAAAGAGAAACAGAACCCCCAGAATGTGAGCCTCTTCCTTTTACTCTGCTAGAGGGAGGTCTGCAGACACAGGAGAGCTGACACTAGGTAACTCCCGGTCTGCCCCCCACCCCCAGGCCTCCTTGGGAGGCTGCGGCCCAGCTATGTGGTGGTGGGCTTCTGCCAGCGTGGCCATCTCCCATTCCAGCACTCCCTCTGTGAAGCCTGGCAAGCCTGGGTTGGTTAACTGCCACACCTCATCACTCACTGCCACTCTTGGAAAAGAATAATAGTAACAGCTGACGTTTCTTGAGCGTTTACTATTTGCGAGCACGCCCTGTGCATGTGCTCTCTAAGCCTCCCAACAGCTGAGGAGGCAGGGTCTGCTATCCAGACAAGTAACATGCCCGAGGTGTCCCACTCCTGAATGGCACAGCAAGGATCTGGGGGAGACAGCGTGGCTCTGAGTGGTGCTCCAGCCCCTGCACAGGGTCCCTGGGCCACGAGCCACAGTGCCTTTTTTTTTTTTGAGACGGAGCCTCAAGCTATCCCCCTGGGTAGAGTGCCATGGCATCATGCTCACAGCAACCTCCAACTCCTGGGCTCAAGCGAGTCTCCTGCCTCAGCCTCCCAAGTAGCTGAGACTACAGGCACCCGCCACAACGCCTGGCCATTTTTTGGTTGCAGCCATCATTGTTGTTTGGCGGGCCCGGGCTGGGGATTCGAACCCGCCACCTTAGGTGTATGTGGCTGGCGCCTTAGCCGCTTGAGCCACAGGCACCGAGCCAGCCACAGTGCCTTTTACCTCCTGCTCTTCCAGCTCCCAGGGCCCGGTAATTCCTGGGTTGCCTTGGCTCCATGCACACATACACTTGGGACCACAGGCTCAATTTCTAGGCCACACCTGGACCTCTTTCAATGTTGCTGGAATTAAATGATGAAAACTGATCCTTCTACCTACATGGGTCTGCATTTCTTTTTTCCTGCTCCCTTAAACCTGTTTGGCCAACAGATTGGGACCTTCCAGTGGAAGGGGAGGGTTGAGGTCTTTCCTGGACCATCACAGGCCTCACCCACCTTGTCGATGAAGGCGGCAAACCTGCTGTTGAGGCACTTGATCTGCTCCTTTTCCTCGTGCTTGACGCACTGGGCGTTGGGGTCGATTTCCAGGTTGAGGGGCGTGAGGAGGGTCTCGTTGACCGACACGGTGGTGATGCAGGGGGGGCTGGGCCCGCACACGCCGCCTGAGCGGTATCCGAAGCTGCGTCCACAGGAGCCAGCGCGGAAGTTCCCAACGGCCATGCGGGGTCCACAGGGGCCCAGGTTACAGAGGCTGCGGCTGCCAAAGCCCGTCAGCCCCCGGTAGCAGGACACCCCTCGGTAGGGGGCCGCACTGATGCAGCAGCGGTTGCCAGTTTTGGGGGCCACGGCTGAGCAGGAGCTGAAGTTCCTGGTGACCCCACATCCTGAGCTGATCCTGTAGGAGCGGCAGGACATGGCAGGGCTGTGTGCAGAGTCTGAGAGGCTGAACGTGGGTCGGTGCGGGCTGCAGAGTGCGAGGCTTAGCGTCCTTCTGGTTTCTCTGATCCTCCCTGGGCCTTTTATTGGTGGGGAGAGCTGGGGCTGGCTGCATAAAAGGAGTGAAAATTCATTTTATGTTGTTTATGGGCTTGGGGAGTTTGCCAGCAACTCCCCAAGGACTCGTCTTAAAGGTGAGCTCAGCAGTGACTCTGGGGCCCTGTAAAAGTATTGAAGATGTTATTAGGGACCCTACGTGTTTGCACTTTTCATCTTCAAAGCTCGTTTACATATATTAAGTAATTACTTTTCTCACAGTCTCTCTGTGAGATGGCCTCAACCCACACTTGGAAACGGCTCTGAACTCCACAACAGTCGGGCGGGGGCTGGGTTTGGGATACAGGCAGGGGCCACTGTCTCAAGGAAGAAGTTCCAGGGTCTTGGGAACTTCTCCCAAGTTCCAAGGGTCGTGGGTTAGCTGAGACCTCGACCTGCCTGGCTCTGTGTGGGAGACATTCTCAAGTGAATCATTGCATCTTAGGGGCTGATAGGGCAGGCAAATCCAAACCCACCCAGGTGGTGTCGCCTGGAGAGTGGCTGAGGACGAGAGTGGCCATTTTGACCATGCTTGCTCTAGGACAGAGGCTGGAGTGGATGGTCTCTCGGCACCTTCTGGATTCCAGCCCAGAAGGCTCTGTTCCAGCGCTTTCATGTCTCACCCAGCAAAAGTGCAAACCACACAACTCTCAGTGGCCACAGTTATGGCCACTGTGAATAATGGGAGAGTCTCCTTTAGCCACTTTCTTCTATTTGGCCAGAAGGATTAGAGAATCCAATCCTGGGGTAACCTGGTGGCTATAAACTTGCTATGGGCATATTCCCTTTGCTCTTTAAGAAGAAACAGGTCATGTGAGTTTCTTCCAGGACCACAGCCTGAGAAGGTATTCATTCCGGTGACTAGCCCCCAAATTGTCATCATTCCATTGGTTAGCCCCAGAACTGCCATCATTCTGTTAGCTAGCACCAGAATTGCCACCCCCAAAGAAGGGTTAGAGATTGCTCTGCACAAAGCTGGGAGTGGGATGGTGGCTTATTCTTGTCTGAGGATGCTATGATTTCTGCCTCCTGGGGGCTCTTGGAGACTCATCCTTTCAACACCCCTTCTTCCCTTTGTGTCCTTGAGCACTTATTAGGATAACAAGTGATTTTCTTTTAATGTTTATTGAGCACAAACCTTGGGGATAAGGTCTCTGCTCTCAGGGATGTTAGCCAGACACCCTTAGATGAAGAGCTGATGAGCTTCCTCAGGAGTGACTCCTCCAGGAAGCTTTCCATAACCCAAACGCTGCCCACTGTCCTGTCATTCCCCTGTCCTCTGTGAGATGCCCTACCCTCTGCCCTGGTCTTCCCTCATTGCCATGGCTGGCCAGCCTCAGGTCTTCACTAGGATCAGGCTGATTCCTATCTCCACATCCTACATCTGTTCTTTAGGGTAGAGTGGAGAGATCGTGGCAGCTGGTGGGGGAGAGCAGGTGGCCTCACCAGCTGGCCCTACAAGATATTCAAGTCATGGTCACCCATGGGGCAGTAGCTGGGTTTAGCAACCTGGGCAGTGAGATCACAGTTGGAAAACCTGGTTCAAGGGCCAGTTTGGACCCTTTCTAGCTGTGTGGCTCTGGGGAAGTTCTTTATCTCTCTGAGCTTATGTTTCCTTGACTGAAAGCCCCTCCAGGGCTGTTGGGGGGTTACATGGGTGATGTCTGAGAATATGCTCTTGGGACCATAAAACTGCACACAGGAAAGGGCCTATTGCTTTCCGCCAGAATGTGGGTGGCGCTGCCCTGCCCAGGGAGAGGGCCGGCTCCTGGGCCTGCCCCTGTCTCCTCCTCCATACTTTTATGACTTCTTCATCCATCAAGGATACTTTTAATGTTTTCCTTAGCCTGATTTCACTAGTCTAAAGATTTTGGGTGGGGTCTAGGGGCAGAGAGAAGAGGCTGTGCTGGGGGAGCACTGAAGGTGTTTCCCCTGGGGCAAGGAGCTTATTGCTCAGGATCCAGGGATGTCTTCTGGGGCCTTGTACTTGAATTCATTGGCTGGCTGTTGTGCAGACCTAGAACTGATGTGTAGCCAGGAGGGATTTGGGGAGGAGGGTAAGGGCTGAACATGGGAAGTGGAGGAACTTGACAGCCCATAAAACCTCCCCGTCTTCATACCTCCTGCAGCCCTCTGTTCTCCTCCAGGCTGTTGATGAACCAGATCCGCTTCAGTCTCTTTAGGAGCAGGAGGGAGTGGAGGTTCTGTCCTGGAGAGAGGCTTCTGGCCAGCTGTTTTCCCTGCCCACAACACATACAACAACCCAAACCTCCACCCCAAACTGGGCCCTGAGGATGAGGAAAGGGAGCCAGGGAATTCAGGAGAACTGAGGCAGCCCCACCATTTCCAGAACTAAGGTCTCTGTCCAGGCCCAGCAGGACTATCTGGAATGAGGTGTGACTGCCTGTGAGGGGGTGTGCACCGGGGAGGATGTGCCAGGATTGAGGACCCAGGATGTGCTGGTGAAGTTAGCACAAACACTCACTCAGTGGAACACAAGTCCCTGCCGAGAGAGTCAGGATGCTTCTAGGGCCGGTTTCATCCTCATCTGCTACCCACCTGGGTCTCTTGGTTCCCTGAATTGCACCCCTCTCCCTTCCCCAACCCCTCCATGTCCCACCTTGGCCTGCAATGTCCCAGAATGGCTGCCTCTTCCAGGAAGCCTTTGTGAACTAGTTACAGGGAGACTGTGATTTCTCACCTTTGCTGTCTCATAAAATGCTCGATCTGGGGCTTCCCAGACAACTCCAGTTGCCACTTTCCCTCTTGTCCTAGGCACTGTCACTCACCACTGCTGGTCCTGTCCCCTCCTGCCCCACACCTGTTGAAGGCCCTGCCTGGTGTTGGGAATGGCCACTCAAGTGTCCATGACCCTCCCGTGATTCCAAATGCTCCTAAGAGGCTGCTTCTTCCATGAAGCCTCCAAGAGTTAATTTGGGGTCTTTACCTCACCCTGGAGCCTCAGCCCACTGCTAAGGCCCCATCTGGATCTGCTGCACAGAGGACACCACCTGGGCTTTCCTCGGAGGCCTCAGGCCTGTTGCCTGAGCTGGGGCAGGTTGCTCTTCCCCACACCAGGGCTTGATACCTCTCTTCCCTCTACTCTTTCACCGGGGCTATTAATAAGAGCCCCTTGTTTCTAAGAAGGCTTCCTGGGTTTTCAAAAGATAGGAGAGCCCTGACACCTCCCTCACTCCTGCCTTGGGTGTCAGAGCTGCCTGTCTGCCCTCCCAGTTCTGTACTACTATGTGCCTGGCTCTCATGGACCCGCTCACTGTCCTTCCTGGCTGGCTGGTTCTCCTGAGTCATGGGCATGGCCTGTCCCGAGCAGGGCCTTGGGGGCTGCCTGCACATCTTATTCAGGTTGGCACCGTCCGTCTCCTCCACTGGCCAGGCTTCTATTATGCGTCTAAATGTACCTGCTGTACATTCAGGCACGCAGCGTTTGAAGTTTTTAGCCTCTTCTGTGGCTGTCAAAAAACTCGGGCCCAACTCAGAGACCCCAGGTGAAAGAAGTGAAGGGCACAGCCACACGGCAGAGCTGGATGAACCGAGGGTACACTGCCCCGTGTTGCAGCTGGGTTCCTTTTCCAAACTGCTCCCTAGCCTGCCATATCTTTCCTCCATGGCTTCCCCACCAAGAACAAGGAGGGGAACTCTTCTCCTGAACTCTGTCCACAGGCCTTCCTGCGGGTGGTGTCCCTGATGGCTGTGCTGTTTCTTGTGGCTACCCCGGGTGACAGCAGACACTCAATTAAAACAGAGCCTCAAAGTTCAGAATTGGGTCATATTAATGGTTTTGAAAGTTTTCTTCTTTTCTAAGCCATTTTCCTAAATCTTAGGAGGAAAATAGCTATATAAAACCGTGTGTTTACTTCCTTATTTAGTTGCAAGACAGATAAGTTTAATGTGTTGGACTCCCTGCCCACCCTGGCCCCTGCACTCGGTTCTCAACACAGGAGTGTGATCCCTGTGAAACACAAGGAGGGCTGCATGCCACTCCCCTGCTAAACACCCAGGGACTCTCAGTATCACTGGAGTCCAAATGATGGTGGCAAGGCCTGGCACTGGCTGTGCCCATGTAACCACTGGCCTCCCACTGCTCCTTGGCATCATAGCTCACAGCAACCTCAAACTCCTGGGCTCAAGTGATCCTCCTGCCTCAGCCTCCTGAGTAGCTGGGACTATAGGCTCCCGCCCCAATGCCCAGCTATTTTTTCTATTTTTAGTAGATGTGGGTTCTATTTCTTGCTCAGGTGCATCTCAAACTCCAGAGCTCAAGCAATCCACCCGCCTCAGCCTCCCAGAGTGCTAGGATTATACGTGTGAGTCACTGCACTCGGCCTCACTGGATCTTGTTTTTAAAAAATTTAGAACAATATGAGGGTACAAATGACTAGGTTACATTGTTTGTGTTTCTAGAGTAAAGTTCAAGTTGTAGTTGAACCTTCCATCCAGGACACTATTCAGCCATAGAAAAGGTGGAGCCTTCATGTCTTTTGTATTTACCTGGATGGAGTTGAAACACATTCTTCTTAGCGAGGTACCATGAGAATGGAAATACAAGTAGCCAACGCACTCAACACTAATACGAAGCCAGCAGAAAAACAACTACACGCCCATATGTGGACCTTCTTTTTAAAACAGCAACCTGCTCTCATACCCCAAGGGCAGTTTCCATTGGGTTTATCTTCCTCCCATCTAGTTCTTTTTCCATCTTGTATAATACACTCTATAATTTGCTTATTTATTCTATTTATTGATTATTATCCATCTCACCCCTCACCCCCAAATAAACTCCATGGAAGCAGGGATTTTTTTCTGTTTTGTTCATTGATGGATCCCAAGCTGTGAATATAGTGAGTGCTCCATAAATAGCAGTT